TTTAAAAAAATATATATATATATAACTTTAACCTAGTTGTATTTGACAGCAGCATAAATAATTTTGCGGCACGCAAACTTCAATTTCTTTTTTCATATATCAATATTATTTACACATATGTTGTATCAATTTGTGGAGAGTCACACAGCTGCCACAAAGTGTTGCAGCAGCATGTGGCAGCAGCTGCATTTGCGTTTAGCCTAATTAAAATTGTACGCCACGTGTGGCACGTATTTGTATTGTTGTTATTTTTTTATGTCAATGGAAAAAAATTACTTAATGATAAAAATGATAAGAGCGCTGCTAAGGGAAGGAGGTGAGGTAGAGGCGGGGCTTAGCCTGTTTTGAGCTTGGTTGACCTTTAATTATTTGATGGTACATACACACACGCACACATGTTGAACTTGCAACAGTCGTTATGCTTTTGGGACAAGGCACTTTCGCTTATTGAAAAACATTGAAAACTGCAAGTCGAGACACGGCAGACATGAATGTTTATTGATCGCCCAGGTAGATGCTTTTAAGGCCATCATAAAAATAATAATGATGCCAAGGCATGGCGATGGTGGTGGTGGTGGTAGTGATGGTCGTCGTGGCGGTGCTGGTGGTGGTGATGGTGGTTGTGTTGGTGTTGTTGCTGCTAGTGGCGTTGGTGGCGCCAACCAAGTGTAGGCAGCTGCACATGGAAATAAATATTTATATGCGCGCCATCTATAAATTGAAAGACCAGAAGAAGAAAAAACCTATACAGGTAAAGGGTTGTGCGCTAATGCCAATTCCAAGCGACAGGTGAAACGACAAGGAAAACAAGCAGCAAGGTGTTGAGCCAGGAGTGGGCAGGGCCAAAGATGCGGCTGTGGCAGGGGCACAGCACCAGCAGGACTTATGAGCTTTGGTGCACAGCATTTGGACTTGGACATTTTTACGATGTGATTTCACATAACCACAGCAGACGTGCAGACAACAGCGAGACAGACAGAGAGAGAGAGAGAGACACACAGAGCGAGGGAGAGAGAGAGCGCGAGAGTTGCAGACGCTTTGGTGATAAACATCGAAATTGCTGCTTAGCTGTGTGTGTGAGTGTAGCACGTGTGTGTTTGTGCATGCGTATGCTATGTGGCAGCCTGTGTGGCAGCAGCAACAGCTACCAAAATTTATTACACTCCAGCGGCACAAGCGAATTCTAATAAGCGAAATGCGACGTTGAGCTCGCGCTAATGTCCTGCAGCGAAATCAAACGGAATTACAGGCCGCATTACGCATACGCCCCCAAACATACATGCATGCATATATACACATATATATATATGTCTATATGTGTGTGTGTATCGTTACACAAAAGGGTTGACTATCATTTGTATGATATGATTTGATACAGGCACTCTATATACTTATTTTAGTTTGATTTCAATGTTTACGCGTGCATGACACAAAACCATTCATTTGCTGGAGGAAGGACATGGAATCCGATAGGATGACCTAGTCAATCGAATACTGAATACCCTAACAAGGCAATAATATATTATTTATTAATAATATATATTTTCTCTTTATGTATTTTAAGTAACACTTTAACATGTTATAAAATTTACTAAATATAATTAATAAATAAAAAACATTCAATTAACTCACCAGTTTTTTTTTAGTTCACCCGGATTTGATTTTCACATAACGAAAAGCAAAAGAAAATGCCTATGTCTGTAAGAAAAATAATAAACATTAATATATATGTAATCAATTTCTTATAAATACTATCTATATATACATATTAAATAATCAAAGAAATGACTAAGACTTTTACAAGAGAGTACACCATTCCAATAATATATATACAACTTAAGGCTATAAAAAGCAACTTACTAAATTAAACTAAACTAACTAACTGAAAGCAATGAGCCTAGTCCAGTTAGTCAGTTAGTCACTAGCTGCTTAAAATAAGCAAAAATTATAAAAAGATTAAAAGACTGCAGTCTAAATCATTGCAAAACTACTTAAATTTTCATGTAACTTCTAGCTAGGGCATAACACTCAAAATTGGGCAGAGAGTGAACGTTATCCATATGCCTTGAAGGATCGCTGTTGCTAGCATTTGGGGATGAGTCGCTGTGGATTGTCGCACTTGAGTTGATTTAATTCAATTCATGGACAGACAATGATTGCGTCAATTGCCGCATGTTTATCATTGTGACAGTTTTTCAACGAGAAAAAAAGATGTTGGTAGACCAAAAGTTGGCAGAAGCAAAAACTGGGCCATAGCCAAACCCCTTTATCTAGCTAGCTCGCTCTCGCTCTTTTCACTCTCTGTATGTGTGTGTAATGAGGGGGCGGTTAGCGGAAATTGTATGTAAGCATTTTAGTTTGGCGATTGTCTGTCGTCCGTCGTCTGTCGTCTGCCGACTCTGCTGAAAGTGTCTACAAATTGAGCGCATTATTTGCAGCCCAGTTGCTCCTTTTGCCAAAGGGTTGGCAATTCGGCTTGGCTCTTGGCCTTGTTTACATAATGGCCAGCGGTGTCAGTGTCACAGCATATAAACCTCTATCTATTTTTTTCTCTTCTTTTTTTTTTGGCTGGCCACAACTGTGCCAATTAGTTTTTAGAGAGCAGATCGCACACACACACATTGGCTGTAGAGGGCCCCGGGAGTGCAATAGTAGAGCGCAGGGTTTTCAATTACACATTATGGCCGTGGTAGCAGTAAAAGACTTGGCCCAAACCACAAACAGAAATTGGATTTGCGACTCTTCTCTTATTTTTACTTCGCTTTTATGTGCAGCAGACCAAGCCTCAAACCCTCAAAGCTCAGCTCGTTCAGTTTTATGAACTTATAAACAAGCGACAGGTTGGGTGAGGATGGGTGGGCGTGGCGGCTGGCCAGTTGCAACCCTTTTTCCTGTCAGCTGTTGCTGCTGCTGCTGCTGCTGCTACTGCTGCCTTTGCGGACTCTCTAGCTGCTTATTATGTGGATTATTAGAGGGATTTACTTGGCTGGCAAGTATTGCACTGCTACCAAAATCACATGCTGTAGATGTGTGTTTCTCATGTGTCTGTCTGTTTGAGTGTGTGTGTAGCATCAATGACATAAATAAAAAGATTTGCCAAGGATTTGCCACTGGGTAACCACACCAAACACAAAAAAAAAAATAATACAAAACCAACAAGCAACAGCTTCCGGCTCTGCCAAAAGGTGCCGTCAAATTGTGCCGTAAAAATACCGACGGGGACCCATAGCAGCCCCCTCTCCACACTTGGCTTGTTGCTTGTTTTAAAGGGTTCAGCACACTCGCTCGCACACAAACACACACACAGACACACATGCACAGTTGTGTGATTTACGCTGACACTAAAAGCTCAGCCAGGTCAATGTTTGTCTCAGGCTCTGGCCATAAATTGATAAACAGCTAATCGCAAATGCCAAAACAAAGTATAACAACAAATATCATACAGACAAATGGCAAAAACATTCATTCACTTATTACTGATAACGGCACTTCAAATTACCGCCTGTCATTTACAGTTTTTGAGCTTTGCGTAAACAATGACGTGTCGTAGACTTTCACTTTAAATCGCGTGTTCCCTAGTTAATCATCAAATTAACAAACAACACCCACTGTATGTACTAGTAGATGCCCTATAAGTGTATAGCAGACTTGCAATACTTTAAAAAATTTCGTTTCAAGGAAATTCTATAAATTAATTTTTACTTACAACACAATTAAAATAAATAAATGCCTACATATAGATATTTACTAAATATATGTAGTATGTATGCACATACTCCCCTCTTATATTTATTTAATAGACTTCAGCCTCAGCTAAAATAATATGCTCATCGAAACAACAGCAACAGCAAGGAGCACGCAACTTTTTACATTCTCACGCTCCATTCCTCTTGTACGCTTCTTGCAATGAGATCTAATGCGTTTTACTCTCCTACTACACTACACTATGCTCGCTCTCTTTTGTGCCTACAGTCTGTAACCGAAGAAAGCAACGGGATCAATACGAATGAGCTGTCAAAAGGGACCGACTCAATTTGCCTTAACATTAACATTCACACTAAAAATCAGTTAGTCTACCAATGCAAATATACGAGGTACACTTTGAAGAGGAAAGAAAAATAAGAGAGTAGCAAAAGAAAGATATCAACGGCAAGCCGAAAATGAAATGTCATTGCCAACTTATAACAGTATGTGTAACATATTTAATGAAAAAATTTAAATACAATAGCAGACACAAATAGATAATTGAATGTATTTTAGGCAATTGGGATTACCATATACATCAATATATCAAAGTTAAGATAAATATTCAAATTAAAAAGTGGATTTGTAGCCAAATTTTCGTAAATACAAAAAAAATAGTAAAACACAAAAGGCGAATAATGATTGAACTATTATCAAATGACAATAAGCAAACGGACACCTCTCCAATATAAAGAGCTTAACACTATTAAATTTGTAAAATTTTGCAAAACTAACAACGCGGAAGACACGGCCGATCAACAGGACTGACGCGCACTGACTAATCGTCTCATTAGTTTTGAGCCTACGCTTAGCTAGCACTCACACTTAAACAACAACTCTAATTTAACTCTTTTGCTTCACACCATTTCCAATATGCGCTCTCTGCTGGATACACGACAACTGGATCAGAACCCTATAGCTCTCCCGCTCGAACTCATACCTCACAGAATGCTCACTCTCTGTTGCGCCTGTAGTCTTCAAAACAAATTATTATAACGGGATCAACTGGAATGAGTAAATTATCTTCTGCATTTACAATATCCACGCTCTATGACTTACAAGTCCCCTACTCTCCCGCTCCACATTACATATTGATATATATGAGTTTTATTGTTTGTTATCAGAAAAAAAGTAATAATGATTTAATTAATAAGTAAGCGCTGTCCTCCATTCAGTGTGTAATTATATATTTTAATCTTTATTCCCATGTTATTTGAATACAATGTTGCAAGCTGATTAAAATAGTTGCTGGGCACTGGCAGAGGCTGGGTCAGGGTGAGGCACAAAGGGGATCCATTTACGTATGTATTTTTTTATTATTAATTTTTCACGTGTTTACTGATAAGGCTAATCTATTTATTGTAATGCCCCAAATCAGTCTTGAGCACACGCCACCGCGAATAGGCTATATCCCAGTCGAGAAATGCGCCCACAATATGTCTGACATTTTGATCCGTATCATCGTATCCCGTACGGCCGTGCACCATGCGCACGTTATCAAAGGTTAGAACATCACCTGGCGTTGTCTTAAACGTGCATGCCTGCTCGTTGGCCAGCCGTATAAACAATGCCATTGCCTCGTACCAGGGACGCACCTGCTCGGCAGGTACACTAAAATGGCTGTCTCGCTGTGGAATGCTGTGGTTGATGCGCACGTACCGTCCATTGGCATCCAAGCTGTAGAGCAGGTGGGCACGTCAATAAATGGAGAAAACAAAAGAGTTATCAAAGCATTGCTACTCACTTGATAACGGGCGCCCGCCAAATGTTATGAAACTTCAGGTGCTTCTCACTACCAATGTCCGCCCAATCTACGGGCGTTTCGCTGAGCACCTTGAAGGCGCCCGGATAACGTTGGCGCAGCAGCTCGGCGACATAGAAAGCATCGCTCAACAGATTCCAGCCACCAGGTGAATCCGATTGTTGCAGCGTATGCAGCAGCGTTATGCTCGGTTTGTACTCAAAGTAGGGCATATCTGTGTGTAGTGGCAGCGGTTCGGCTAGGTAGGCATAGTTACTGGCACCTGGCTGTGCCTTGACACTCCACTCATCGCCGTAAGTGGTGCTGCGCATGAAGCCCACCCGATTGCACAGATCACGCAGCACATTCGCCTCCAGTGGCGCCTGCCTAACCAGCGCCAAGCCGTAGACAGCCAAGTGGTGCAGCCAGTGCAACAGCGTCTCATCATTGTGCAACAGATCGTCATATAGAAACTCGCGTTGTATTAGCTGAAACTCTTTGCCGCACCAAAGTCTCTGTTCCGGGCGATAAGAATCGCGCAAATAACGCGCGCGATTCGCATGCGAGAAATCGCGTTCCTTGAGCCAACTCAACGCATAGCTGGACTTGTGCCCATCGGACCAAACGATTTGCAGGCTTTTACGCTCTGTGCACCAGCTAAGCTGCAGCAGTCGCACCGTGGGGTCCAAGTAATTCCAACCATGCGGCAGACGACTGCGCGTCTGTTGCATGTAGCATACGTTGCACTGGCAATTGTCGCGCAGCCAAATCTCGGGAAACTGTAAAGCAGGCGAATCCAGCGACAGGCGCAACAGCACCAGCTGCTGCTGTAAGTCTCGACTGACCTGAACGCAGGAAGTGCTAGAGCTGTTGTTGGTCAACATCTTTTGCGATCGGGCAACGCGCTGCGAATGAGATGAGTTTCGGCAGCGGCAGCATCAGCAGCTGAGCCGACGCATCAGCTCAGCGCCGCATCGGCCCATGGTTGGCTACAATGGACACGTGGCCCTCTAACAGCATTGAGATTATTGCTCGACGTGGCTCGCCTGATGCCAGCTCGAAGTCGAGCACTTATCAATCCTTTGTGATAGCAGCCAGCCAGCGCCTTGTTTGCTGGCTCAGCAATCAATCAGAGGGGTAACGATTTTTAGCTCTTAAAGACTTGCTATGAATCTTTAAGCTGTCTCTCACATGCACACACACACAAGCACCATACACACACACACAAACACACTCACGTAGAGCAATCTATGCAAAATTAAAAATGCAAAATTAATTTTTTGCACAAAATTGCGCACGCTTGCAAAATTCTGCATAATTGTTTGTCATCAGCAGCCAGCTGGGAGTCCCTTTCTCTCTCGCTCCCTCTCTCTCTCTTGCCCGGTGACGAGACTAGGCTGTCTGACACTGCCCCTCTCTCTGTCTCACTCTCTCTGTCACTCTTTCTGCCTTGCACTTCATTGAAATGCCGTCAATCATTGTTAGGCACATTGATCACTTCATGCATGTTGCCACATCCATCTTGCCCCATGTTGCCTGATTGCAATATCCCACTTCTGACACAACACAATAACCAGGCAGCACACACACATACATGCATATATATAAATTTATATATATATATAGAACAACAACTGCAAGTCTATAGCGCGATTTTTAATTATCACTTTCGCATTTCACACACATACACTTATATATGCACACAGACAAATGCATTTGTATCTGCATCTATCTATCGCTTGGGTATCAAGCGCCTTTATCCATTTCCATTTTCATTCAGCTCGCTTTCACGCCTGGAACAAAGAAACACAATCCGTGAATGCTCAGCTTTTAGCTTTGCCAAGTGTATTTACACTCTCCAACAAAATTAAAGTCGAGCATCTCACTAATGTCAAGTTTTTAGACTATTTGAACATAAAAGTGATCATATAGAGAACTATAGAGAACATAGAACATAGAGCATAGAACAGAGACCACAATAATACAGGGTATAACTATATAAATAATTACTATTATTGCGTATTTTGAATGTGTTTATTGCTAAAATCCATAGCATACTTTCTGGAGCGCATCAAATTAGAATTCAAATCAAATATTTCTACGTTCTGATTAGAAATAATAAAAAAAAAGAGTATTCGTCGGGCGTTCTGCATGGCTGCACTCAGGCAAAAACTGTTCATTTCGCTGGGCCATTTCATAATTCTATGGAATGTTTTATGCATTATATATCTGAAGAGATGAGAGCGGGCGAGACGGATAGGCAGAGAGCAAGATGGGGATGGAGGCTGGGTGGCAAGGAAGGCAGGCTGCCGCTGGCAGCGCGCAACAACCCAAAGCCAGAAACTTTATTGTTTTCAATTAAAAACATTTTACATGCAAAAACATGCGCATCTATGTAAACGAGTGCCTCGATCCATTCATAGGACTTAACAAACAAACAACAACAGCAACAAGAACAACGAACAACAAACAAATAACGAAAAATCATCAAGAACAACGCACAATTGCAATGAAGTGAAATGTAATGAGGTGTAATGAAAATGCATTCAAGTGTTGCGCCTGACAGTTTTCTACCTGCACTTAACAATAATCATAATGAACAGCAACAATTACAACAACAACAAGAACTGTCAGCAATTACAACAACAAGAGCTTACATCTGCTGCCATATAACAATCCAAAAGCTATCCATGGAGATATCAATTACAACCTTTCTATGCCATCTCTGCTAATGAATTGGCCTCTTGCCTACATAACACGAAGTCCAAAAATCTGTATATATATAACGTATATATATACTGTAATCTGTTCCATTAAATGTATTTGCTAATTGGGTTTTATTAAGCTTCGTTTAGCTTACTTGAAACACTTATTCAAATTGCACCACGTTCAGGTGTAGTTCATCGATTTTCTCACAGCCAATTGCTTGACCGAAAATATACCCTGTTAATTATGTTTAATAAGAGTTAAGCTGTTCTTTCTATAGAGTTCGAACTCTTGACTCTGATTTGTCTGAAAGCCAACTAAGTCATCATCAAACTAAAACCTACAGAATTTGTACTTTAATCCCATCTGGGCTTGAGCCTAGCTAACGTTCTCTCATCATCACCATCCTTATAGATCCCGCAGAATTTGAACTCACATTCCTTACATGCACAGCAGCGTACGTAGGGTCAAATACCTTCTTAGCACTGGACACTTATAACACTATACAACAGCATGCTACCCTGTTCAAGTTCTTACGTAAGTATGTCAATTCAGATACTTCATTAACAGCTAATCTTCAATAAAACTATAATCAAGTCAATTGCAATTTAAAGTCCCACACACCCACTCACTCACTGCTACCAATTACAGGGTATATATATATATGTTGATAGCCGTAACATTGCCTCGAAAATTGTTTGATATTCATGTTTATCAAATCGCACTCGAGTGGCAAATAATTCTAGACTCATATGAATGCAAATCCAATCAAATCAAAATAAATCAAGTCAAATCAAATCGAAACGAATCGAAACGCAGCAGTTTGTCGTGCTGGCTGTAAAGCAACCTCAACTGTTGACATTTTGTGAACGCGCAGGTTTTTGGGGCCATTTTATAGAAAATTATTAATGAACTCCAAAGCGCAGCTGAGCGGAAATGCGGTCTATCAGCCAAGCAGAAAGTGTCTAAATATGAGAGTGCGTGTGTGTGTGTGTGTGTGTGTGTGTGTGTGTGTGTGTGTGCTGCTGCCGCTGCTGCTTGGTGTTGGGCATAACAATGTTGGCTAACGGTGCGCACAATGGGCGTGCTTTAGGCCTAATTAGCCTCGTGGGCAGCATCAAAAGACCCCAAACCACACAAACAGGCAAACAGGCGCCATGAGAAGCGCATAGAAAGGCCGAACGAATCGGCCTCTATAAATAACAAAGGCAGAACGCATAATTAGGCAAATGCTGCTGCTGCTACTGCTGTTGTTATTGTTGTTGTTGTTTGGCACACTTGAAATAGCGCAAATTGGCGCGTTTTGTGGTTCTGTGAGCCACGCCCACACTTGAGCCACAGCCGCTGCGACTGCACTTCCGTTGCGACCGGAAGGCAGGAGCCAGAAAAAAAAATGCAAAAAAAAACCAAAGTACCCGTTGTCAAAATCCTTAAGTGGCAAACGGTCCGGCGCCAAGATGTGGCCGCACCCACAGTGGGACACATAAATAAATGCGCCAAACAAATCCGTAAATATGATTAAGTGTCAAATTTATTTACTGCTCCCAGGTTGACTTTAAAAAAAAAGAAGGAAAATACCCACATACATATAAAAGCGGACTGCTTTTTGAAAGCCCAGCGGGCCGCGGCTTATGCGCCACCAGCTGGCAGCTGCCACGCCCTCCGCCTTGAGGCTTAATATGTGGCACTGTTGTCGCTGGCGGGCAACTCGATTACAATTACGTGCGCTAATTGCACTTTAAACGCGTCCAAGCTTGTCAACGGGCAACGCTTCACATCCGCCGCTCCCCCGTGCCCTTCACTTCCTGCTGCCCTCTTGATGCAGCCCGCACATTTTTGCTGCCACTTTTCACAGTTTTGCCTCTTATTTTCCTTTCTCCTTTTCCCCTAATTTTTCTTTTTTACCAACGCTTTTTTATGGCATTTCCTGCAGCAGCAGCAACTTACAACTACATAAATTTGCAAACATCATGTTCCATATACATATATATATATATATATATATATATGTATATATAATTTGTTAGGTTTGCTGCATGCAGCCAGGTGGCAGGTGGCAGCACTACTTGTATTATAATAGCCTGCCACACGGCTTTCCACTAGACGTCGCCGCTCGGCCGTAATTCAAAGTGACGCTAAATTTAGTTTAATACACATGAAAACCCACTGTGGAATAGAACATTTTTCGCCTTTAGCTTGCGGCGAAATCAAATGAAAGCTCATTTTATACAATTTAGCGACTTTTCAATGCATGCTGTGTTATAATTCTCAACTAGTTTAAGAGAAAGACAATACTTATCGAATAAGAAGTGTCTGCAAAAAGGACTTAATGGCTTAAGTAATAAAATTTAACTAATATATAATAAAAAATAAAACTATAATAAATAATAATAATAACACAAAAAAATTAACATAAAATTTTTCCCATTTTCTTTACTCTCAACATAAGTAATAATAAAATTAAACTATAAAACTTTTAAGAAACAAAGTTATAAATATTTTCGAATAGCGTATAGAAATGAAATAAGTATATATATATATATTTTGTTCCATTTTTTTTCTTAGTCTTAGATTAATGTGCTTTCAAATCATTCGCAAAATACAGCATAAAGAAAACGTTTTTTAAGCTTTAATGAGCTTTAACAAAAACAATAAAAAACTATAAAACAAATAATATATATATATAAGCTCACCTATTCATGGTCCTTTTATAATATAAATTGATTTTTTTAAATAACTTTCTCCCACATCAAACTAATAAAACCAAAAATAATCTAATCAGCCGTTGCCTAGGCTTTCATATAAGCTCCAACTTATCTAACTTAGTCTAACTTAGTTGCTTAACTCTACTCATATTAAGCACTAGTTGTACAAATTTCCGCTCTTGAACACTTGAAAGAAAGCAAAAAAAAAAGAGAAAAAGATTTGCACAATAGAGTTTGCACCACTGTGCATGTGCAATATAAATAGCTGAACTGCCTGGGCTGTAGCCAGCAAGTGGCCCCTATAATGGCTCAAGGCGTAAGTCCATAGCCCTACGCTCTATGTTCGCCTGTCCGCGAGTGCCTATACGCCTGACTGGCAACCCCAGGCGCTGGGAAAGGGCCCCACCTGTTCCACATTTTGCTCTTTTGCTCATTTACACCTTTTATTACGTATGCGTGCGTCGTTGGCGGCA